TGGCATGTGGTGCTGGGGGATTGAACCGCGGTCCCTGATGCTTTGCCAAGCTTGTTCTAAGTAGGTGCCTTAGACCACTGAGCCATCTCTCCAGCCCCAGGTCTTTAGGTCTTAAAGTTGAGTTTGGTGATAAGAGAATAGAGGTTTAAAAAAAAGAGAGAGAGGTAGAGACTGAAGAGTAGAATTGAAAAGAGGGACAGTAAACGTACAATCCTGGTTCTCTGGATGAGACTTAACATATCTTGCACTTCTGATCTTGCATAGTTTGATCCCCCTTTATGGTCAGGAAGATAGGTCTAAGATAAGAGGCAGAAATGGTGTGGAGGAACAAGAAGAGTAAAGTGAAATCTCCATCTTTAGCCAGCTAATTGAATGATGGGGGACAGTAGAAGAGGGCAAGTCCAGACACAGGGAGGGTAATCTGGGATATGGACTGCAGTGTGCAGAATGCTGAGAGATTTATTTGGATAAAGGATGAGCTAATCTGTATACATCATAAGAGTACTGTGCCTAACCTCTGTGGGGGGCATAGAGTACTGACTCCGAAACAGGCTTCTTTGGCCCACCCTGCTTCTCTTGCCTGGTGCCCCAGGGCTTCTGACTACACTCACACTAAGCTTTTGTCCTGTCTGACTCCACTTTCCTGTTTGTTTTTTGTTTTTCCCTGAAGGAAATTATCTTGGAATAACTTTTCCAGAGGGGGCAGAGTGGCCAATAGAGGATCTTTCAACTCTGAGACTTCTATTACCAAAGAGTCAGCGGCCTCTGCCCATTTCTGCAAATACCTAGCTCCCCAACCTACTATACAACTTAGCTCCTGCAGTTACTTTTCACCACCACCCTCTTCATCTTACAGGAAGCAAGACCAGACTTGGCTGTTCCCATTCCACACAGAAACATGTCTGGGTCTGGGTCACAGAGGACCCAGACCTCCCATTGTTAGGGGACTCACTTCCAGGACCTAAGAAACTGAGGTGGAAGAAGGGGATTGAGATCATTCAGGAAGTGTGAGAAAAGTAAGCCAAAAGTCAAGGATGAAACATTTGTTTTAATTCCAAAACTTACTCTCCAGCCAGCCAAACCAGCCAAACCAGCCATGAGGGCATTTGGAGAAAAGAAAAACAAAAACAAACAAACAAAAAAAACCTTATTCCACTCTTTTAGGGGCTGGGGAGATGGCTCAGTGGAATAAGTGCTTCCCTGGCAAGCACAAGGGCCTGAGTTCAATCCCTGGTTCGGGGGGGGGGGGGGAACAAAAAAAAAACAACCCATAATTCCAAAACTTATGAAAAAAAAAAAAAAAAAAAAAAAAAAGGAAGAGGTCTGGGCAAGGACAGGCCCTGAGATACCTCTGCCTGGGAACTAAGGGATGGGTCAGGCCCACTTGGTCAGAGAACCAAAGGGGATTCAGACAAGTGCTCTATTGCTGAGCTACATCCCCAGCAACCAGAGAGATTTTTTTAAAAAATCAAACCAGGCTAGGCCAGATCCCTAGGGGGAAGATGAAGAAAGAAGAGGGTAGACAGTCTGGTATGCTGCTTACCGCTTCTGCCACATGGTCCAGATTCAGTGTGAAAATGTGTATGATGTCACTTAGTTAAGATAGCCCTTGACTGGGGATATAAATATAAATAATACTTCATCCTTTCTTTCAAAGAGCTCACATGCTTAGAGGGAAAACCAATCAGGTGCGGATCAGATGCAGTTACGTGGCTTATGCACAATAAATGCTTAGCTAGCAGCATCACTGAATGCAGTAGAAGAACCAAAAGAGGTGGTTCAGTCCTTCTATCTAGCCAGCATTAGAAGTTGAAGTTTGAGTTGGCCTTTGAAGGCTGCATTAATGACCAGGAGAAGAGCTGAGCAGGTGGAGAGAGCATGTTTTCTCTGGTCCTGCAGAGTCAGGTCAAATTCATACTTCAATTTGCCATGGCTATTCCACCCACTTTGGTCAGAAAGCCTCAAGCGGAAGGTGAATCTCTTAGTCTTGTGCTTAATAAAGCCCTGTGATGAGATGAGGTAATGATGACATCTTCCTTCTAATGGCTATCTGTCCACAAACTGTAGATTGATGCTTCTTTCAGGTACCAGGACTGTCCGGGTCATAGGTCTGACTGGAGGAGCACCTGGCTCAGGCAGCACCTCAAAATGAGTCAGAATCTGGAAGGGATGGAAGAAGGCTGTTGATATAAGAGGAGGATCAAGAATGGTGGGATTTATTCATGAAGGCCATTCTTTAGTGTTAGAATGGTCAATGTTGGGTGGCACCTATGGCCAGGGGGCTTGTCAATGAGAATAACAGATTATGGAAGGGAAAGATAGTCCAACTATCCTTGTTACAAGGCCTGTTATGGGATTGTCACATTTCTGAAGGGTAGATCTGTTGGGTCTTCCATGTCTACCCATCTTATGAGAGGACAGGAGCATACAGCTTTACACTTGATTTTAGCCAAAAGGCTGAGAAGCGATAGCATGCAGCTTTAGCGGGTGTAGGTCTCTCCAGTTTGGAGATTGGATAGAGTTGAGATCACTCACCTGGGCCAAAGCCATTTGCAACTCAAGCTCTGCCAATCGTCTTCCAATGCAGCTGCGCTTGCCAAAGCCAAAGGGAAGAGATGCAAATGGGTGGGGGGCTGGGCTGTGACCCAGCCAGCGAGCTGGACGAAAAGAATTTGGCTCTGGGAACTGGGCAGGGTCCCTCGAAGTGGCGTAGTGACACAGAGTGACCAGTGTCTGGTGGGGAGGAGCACATACTTGTCAGTGTAGGCCCAGGAATCCAGGTTGGGAGGACATGAAGGAAGGGATCTATGGAGCATGCTTGGAGACAGGGGGCTACTTTTGGAACAATTTCTCTGCTGCCCCATTATATCCCAAGGAGAGTATTCAGGTCAGTAGTGTTTAAAGGGCTTTGGGGAAGTGTTTGAGAGCAGAGCTGGGGCCTATGATAGTGAGAAACACACAGAAAAAGGGGCTCATTGGTTTTACTTACATTTTTTGGGATAATATATTCATCCATATGAATGTCTTTGTCTGGAACTCGGGAATTTCCAGGTACCACAGGATACAATCTAGGTTACAAAGTAAAAGAAAAGTGAGGCTGGCGCTATAGCCTTCTCCTCTTCCTCCTCCTTCTCCTCTTCCTCCTCCTCCTCCTGCTCCTCTTCCTCCTCCTCTTCTTCTTCCTCCACCTCCTCCTCCTTTTCCTCACCTCTAACTTCCAAACCCATGTTTGGCCACCTTTCTCTTCTCTTCCCGATTCCACCCACTATCTGTATCCCCAACCTTTCCCTAGCATTTTCTCCAAATTCACCCCTCCACCTCACCTTAGTACTTCCTTGACCACGGCCTTCAATAGGGGCAGCTGGGCCAGAGCACTGACTTGGGAGTGGACACAGGAGCCCGGGCCCAGGGTAGCTGAGATCTCAGAGTGGAGAGCCATCTGGACTTCAGGATGCCGGGAGAGCTCATACAAGGCCCAGGAGAGTGTATTGGACACCTGGGAGGAGCGGTGAAAACATCTAAGGCGTTAGAAGAAGATCCAGTAGAAGGGCAGGGTATGGGGCATCTGGGCCCCGGAGGTGCTAACCCAAGCTGGTCTATGCTGGGGATCTTTTGAAGCAGGAAAGTAGCCCCAGAAACAAGAGAAGCTAAATGCTGCAAGTGGGTCTCCAAGCTGGAGTGGGGACCTCACCGTGTCCACTCCAGCCAGTAGAAGCTCTGTCACATTCCCTAGGATGGACTGGACAGGCCACTTCTCCCGGAAAAGAAAATAGGTCAGGTGTGCCCCAGACTGCGGCGGCATGAACTCCTCCGGCTTTCCCTGGTTCCTCCTGGCTATCTCGGCCTCTCCCCGCTCCACATGCTGCTGGGCTGTGTGGAAGGCAAGCGCACCAATGTTACTACCCCTGGGTAGCTTCTCATTCCCTGTGCCCAACCTTGCTTCTGTGTATTACCAAATGCGAACATCTGGTCCCAGTCTCGGCAGAGGCGATTCCAGGGTCCAGGCACAAAGCGATGCAGCCAGCTGGGCATTGCCATGGTCAGCAGTGTGGACACGAACACCGACCCCACCGCTCGGATGAATGTCTCTGTATCCGGGGGCACTTGAGCCTCCAGGCAGCCCAGACGCGAACCCAGTAGCACCGCGGCTATGCCTGGCCAGAAGGGGGCGCGGTCAATGCACCCGGAGACCCGCAGGTGGTTCCTGCCTTTGCCCCTGTTTTAGGACTCACCCTCAAGTCCAAACTTGTAAAACTCTCCCGCCACGTCCTGAACCAAGGCGGGCGGCCCAGCACCGCGCCCCCGCTGGCGCCTTAGTCGTCGCACAAGGTCACAGACCACGTTGTCCAGGGGTTCGGCATAGTCAGCGGCTGCTTGAGGCCGAAGGAGGAGTGGGGCCAGGCGGCTGCGGAGCCTCTGCCATTCCTCGCCTTCCCTGCGTGGTATGGCGAGAGGGTATGTCAGGAGGTGAGTGTGCGGGGCGCCGCGGTGGCAGAAGAGTACTGGGTCTGATCTCTCTGGATTCCGAAACCTGCCCTTGCCAGTGCCCATCGTTCATCCTCTCTCCTCTTTACTCATTTCCTGCCTCGGGGTTCCCTGGTAACTTGAGTCACAGAGTCTCACATTCAGTCTAGACTATGATATCCCGTCCATCGCCCCTCTTGGATAAGGCGGGGAGAGGGCCGGGCTTTACCTGAGTTTGGACGCAACTGAAGGGAGAATCTAGAGATGCAAGAAAGTTGGGGAACTTGGAAGCCCTTCTACCAAGCCCCGCAACAGACTGCCGTCGCAGGACGGGGCTGCCTCAGTGGCGTAGGTTCCAGAGGCAGAGAGGACTCACGCGGTGAGAAGCCCGCAAGCCCGCTGGTGGCAGCGGCGGTGTTCCGCCCAGGATGAGAAGCTGCAGCGTTCAGGCAGGGGCCCCTCCTGTCGCAGCAGCTGCTCGATGAGTGCGGGAGCTGCCACGTACACTGTGCGCACCTTCCCGAAGCTGGCTGACCACACGGGGCCAAAGCGTGCCGCGCCCTGTACCTGGGGAGACAGAGTGGCAGACATTTGGACACCGTGGGGCCGGCGGCTCTTGGTGGTGCCAACTTTAGGGGTGCTGGCTAGGCTTGGCAAGAGGAGCCTCTTGAGTGCCTAAGTAAGCTTTCATTAGAATGCTATAAACTCTTGCATCCCATAAAAATGTGTGATGGAGAAACGGAGGAACTCTGCACAAAGCAGATATCAGGACCTCTGCCCATCTGGGTGGAGCTGAGTTGGAGAAATACTTGAAGGTGCCCCATCTGGACTCTCCATCTCAAGCTGAGTCCCCAGGGAATCAAAGGAGTGTAGCTTTAAGTCAAAGCAGAGCGTAGCAAGCTTTCTCTTGCCCGCACTGGTCCTGGACCCACATGTAGTCTCCAAATGTGCCCAGTGAGAAGGCGCTGAGTGCTCCCCCCACTGGGTGTTGGGGCAGAGTACTGCTGGTGGAGCCACCTCTGTGTCCTTACGTGCCTTTCCCCTAATTTATGAGTATCACTGTCAGCTCCCTTCAGCCCCGCTTTCCACCCGTCCGCTTTCCTGCACTAGCAAAGCAATTCCCACACACTTGTGGGTCCCACGAGTCGGAATACATCCCCTTCTTCCCAGATTCCACCAAAATAAATAAATACATAAATAAATAAAATACAACCCCTTCTACCTGCAGCTCATGGAGCCTTGACAGCCCCCCTTTGCAGAAAAGTTCAGCCAGGAATTTAGGCATGGAGGGGCCAGGGATGTCTGCCAGGCTCTGAGGTGCTGAGTCAGAGCCTCTGGAGTTTAGAGATGTGCCCAAGTCAGGCACTGAGCGGACTCGATGGAACACTCTAGAGATGAGCTGGGTCATGGTCCAGTTCAGGGAGGCAGTGTGAAAGACTGCTTCTCCAGAGCATCTTGCCTGCTTGCCCAAACCCCTATTTAACCCTTGCATGCAGTGGTGACCATGCCCCCCTTCCCAAGCTCCTCAGCCAATCCCTTGCCTGGATGGCTCCAGTTAGAGGTGAGCACCCAGGAACGGTGGGCGGGGTTGGCATTGATTTCTAGGCTCCTTGGGATCTCATTTGCAATGATCTCATGGGAGGAGTGACTGTATTGTTTCTCTGGGTTAGTAGCCTAAAGATCTCTTCCTGGGAAAGATGATTTAGTGAGGATTACTATAAGTGCTTTCTGGTGGTACCACCACTTCCCCAGGAGCTAGGCTCCTTCAGGCCCATTCACACTTTTCCATCCCCCAGCTCCTTCATGAAGTATGAGGTATAAGTGTCTCCACATTCCTGGCTCACTGGACTGCACCCTCTTCACAAGACAGAACTGCCTCACACTAGTCGCATCTCTCCTTTCCTTGTGTCTGGTGTACTGGGCAGACAGAAGTTGGGCTAAAATGCCTCCACAAGTTGTTTCCTGGGACTAGGGTTTCTTGGGCCAACAAGCTCTCACCTTCTGGTCAAAAGAATTTAAGTCTTCAGGAACAGGAATGAAGGAAGTTTTTGCAAGCAACCAAGTTTGGATATTATCTCTAGGCCCCTGGATGATAGCACAAGGGCTAAGTGCCTGCTTTGAATCCCTAGCTGACTCTGTCTCCTCTGGACAGTCCTCTGCTCAGCAGCCTCTTTCCACTTTTATTTTATTCTGGCGGAACTGGGGATTGAACTCAGACCCTTGTGCTTGCCAGGCAAGTGCTTATTCTACTGAGCCATCTCCCCAGCTCCCTTTCCACTTTTAGCTTAGAATACTCCAGTTTAGTTCCTGCTCCTCTCCCTCCTCTTCACAGACTTTCTGCCAGTTAGCTCTGAAGCTCTAGAAGCCAAGGTCAACATGGAGGAGGGTCTCCACTGCTTTACCCTGCCAAAGATTCTCCACAAACAACAATAAAGGGAGCACAGAGCCAGGCATGAAAGTGCACACCTATAATTTCAGCACCCTGGGAGGCTGAGGCATGAGGATCACAAGTTTGAGCCCTGGCCAGGGCAACTTAATGAAACTCTACCAAAAAAAAAAAAAAAAAAAAAAAAAAAAGCAGATTGCCCAGGTCAAGTCTTAGGCAGGGAGAACAGGAGGAGGCATGTGATACACACCTTGGCCTTTCCTAAGAAACAGCAGTGCGGGCACGTGTGCACACCCATGTGTCATCCCCAGGATTGCAAAGTAAACACAAGTGGGCAGGTAATTTTAGCCAAGCAGACAGTTTAGACAGTGCAGCACTGCATTCCTTACTCCAGCTGAGGAGGGAGTGCTAAGGGACAGCAAGACCCCACGCCCTTCCAGAAATCCCCTCCCGTTCAAAGTCCTTCAAAGTCAGCTTCTTCTCTTTCTGCTGGCAATAGAGACAAAAAGCTGAGCACGGCGGGGAACAAGCGTGAATACTGGTACCCCTAACTTCCTGAGGAGACTGATGCCTCCCAACTCCACAGTCTTAGCTGGGAGGGTCAAGGACGTCTGACTTCCTTTCAGTTCTGGAACATGGGATCCAGCTAAGAGGGGGTACAGTCAGTGACCAGGCAGGGTGGGCTGTGGGGCCACTGCCTGGAGGGCGGGATCCTGGATTCTTCGGAACACGGCTGGGAAATTCTTCCCTCCATTACGTAGAACTTTCTTCCCCTCCTCGGTTGAAGTGCCCAGATGTCCCACAATAGGGTCTTCGCTCTGGGAAAAAGACATGTCCAGTAAGTTCTTGCCCAGCTTTCACATTGCTCTGGGCCTCTGGACTCCTACCCCATCCTCCTGGCCCTAACCTCAGTTCAAATACACAGCTGCTCTGAAAAGAGCCTGCATCTTTGCAAAGATGTCCTACTTACCAGCTCTTCCAAGGGCACGCGCTCAAATAGAGGGTGACCCTCAAAATGGGTGCACATCCAGTGGTGAAGCTCCAGCACATCAGTTATCGTGTACACCAGCCCCTACATAGGCAAAATCAGCCTTGACAGGGGATTCCCAATTAATTCTTAGTGAGGGCCCCTCCATAGGCCATCCACCCCACCCTCCCTTCCACTCCTGACTCACCCCAACTCTCAGCACGTAGGCGTATTCTGCTAGCAGTGTAGGACTGATGATTCGCCATTTGTGCTTTGTCCGTTTGAAATGGGGGTCAGGAAAGAGGAAGAACATCTTTGTCAGCTGTGAGACAGCACCAACAGAGCTGTGAGTATCTATCCTCTAGGCCTGCCTGCCTACCAGCCTACCCGACCAGGGTCCTTCCCCACCTGGCCCTTGCGGAAGAAGTTAGGAAGGTGCTTCATGGCATTACTACGGAGACAGGCAATGTTCTGGAAGCCACCTCCAGGAGCTGCACGTAGGGCCCGAATCCGGTCTTGAACATAGTCTGAGACCTTCACCCGGATCTCCAAGCCCAGAATCAGTGTGTCTGGGAATAGCGGTGACAGTTCCACTGCACAAAGAAATGGCAATGGGATCATCAACCTCATACTTCCAGAGAGTGCAAAAGGGTCAGCATCCGAAAGGAGGCCTCCATCCAAAACCACCAAGTCAGGAGTGAGAACAGAGATATTTACTTAGTTTTCTGCTGAAGAAAATGCAGGGGAATTACATAAATTAACAGGACTAGAATGGGAGGGCTGAGACTACATACATAATTTACAAGTGCTTCAGAGTTTTCTTTCGTTTTCAAAAAAATGTTGTTTTGTTACTTTTTTTGGAGGTACAGTCTCACTTCATAGTCCAAGCTGCCCTTTAACTAGCTAGGTAGCTCAGGTTGACCTTGAACTCTTAACCCTCTTGACATAACCTCCCTCCCAAGTGCTGGAATTACAGGTGTGCCACTATGCCTTGCAGTTTGTTTTAGTTTTCAGTTTTGTTCATGGTCTTTTTAATCCTTATAATCTTATGTGGCAGACTGTGAGGGGGAGAACACTGAACTAGAAATGCTCAAGATCATAGATCTTTTCAGAAAGTAAACTGGGAGTGGTGATGCATCCTTGTAATCCTAATACTCTGGGAAACTGAGGCAGGATTGCAGGTTCAAGCCCAGCCTGAGCACCTTAGCTAGACCCTGTGAACTGCCATGCATGCCTGGGACAATATTTACAAGAGGAACCTGAAAAACATAAGATGAGAACAGAAAGAATGTGCTCTGGTAAGGGAGGGGAGCTGGTGGAATCCCTGAGAAAGACAGTTCAGGATCACTGGTCACAGTGGCTAATCTCTGACGCTTATGCTGACTGGCTCACTGACCCTGCACTTAGCAGGTGAAATGGCTCACGTAGGGACTAGAGCCAGACAGGACAACCCAGGTTTTAACAGCCATTTGAGGCAGCCCCCTCCCTTCTCTAGGGCAAAGGCCACAGACCTAGGGTGGAGAAGAGATGGAGACTGCTTTTCTGCTTTGATGTCAACAGTGTCTGTCCAAAAGGGAAAGGTCAACTGTGGCATCTACCAAAAACCTGCTGATGTAGCAGAACCTAGGTCTCTCCTTGCTCCAGAGAAAGGGCCAGACCATTACCTAACAGGCCACCATAGCCACAGCCTATGTCTGCAAATTCCACTTGGGCCTGAACTCGTTTTTCCTCGGTATCCTTTGGGTCATCATGGCTTTGATTTTGAGTGAGTGGAGCGAAGAACTCTGGGTATAGCTCAGACCAGTCCATCTCCTCTGGCTTCACGGGGCTATTGAAAAGAGCAAAAAAGTGAGAAGGTTGGTAGTGCCACTGCAGAAGTGGTACTGTACGGGTGTGCATAGGTGAGGGTGGAAGGTAGATGGGTGGAGGGTTTCTTAAAAATTCTGTAACTGTGGCCACAGGAGGTACAGTGGAAACCCCCCTAAGCAGCTCTCCTTTCTGGGGCAGCTGTGGGCCTCAAGCACTGGAATTCAACTTCATTCATGTGCTCTGTGGGGAAACGATGAAGTGAGGAGTGGGAAGGATTATGTATACGTTTGCTTTTTTATTAAACCCAACAAACAAAACCGAAAGGTCCGAAAGATGACCCTCTCTAGTTTTAGCAACAACTCCCTTTTCTCTTCTTAGACTTGGCACTGCGACCTAAACTTAGCCCAGAATGCCACACCCCCTCCTGACCCGCCAACTGCGCGCTCCGCCGAATCTCCCGGACCCACCCCCAGCTGACGTCTCCTAGCCGATCTTCAGCGGACCTTCCCAAATCTTCCCTACCGTCCTGGTACCTTGTTCTCTAGGCCGCTGGAAGGATCCCAACCACCCGCCCTTTCCCGTGTCCCGCTCGCTCACTAGCGCAACGTATGGTCCGCCATGGGGTTGGAGTGAGCGCGTTGCCGGTAATAACGCTTTTGGGGCTGCAGAGCCTCGCTTCCCACTGTGCTCCCAGCCTCGGCTCCCGCCATGATGCGCGCCCGGGGGCTCCACGGAATCCACGTGGAGAGCACGGCCCCGGGCGCGAGATGATGACGCAGCCCGCACGCTACCGCGGGCCCCGCCCCTTAAAGACCCGCCAGCGAATTCCACCCGGCTGGGCTGCTGAGCCCACTAGGGGCCGGCGCTGGTGGAGCTTGTGCACCGCTGGTCTCTAACGTGGCTGGCCGGGCGGGAGTGTGTCCAGTCTCCTCTCTTAGCTGGCCTCTGCCTGGTCTGGTTACTACGCTGGCTGTAGGCACCTGTGCACCCCGCAGATGAGAGAGATCTGGGTGCTCTCTCTCTTACAGTGCAATGAAGCATCGTTTCTCTGGCCCGGTGTCGAGCCAGGTCGGCCAGATCTGACCAGTGTGGTCCTATGTGGGTCCCGTCCGCTGTGCGCTAAGGACCGGGCGAGAGGTGCGGCTCCTCGGTCCACCTACGGGAAATCCTCCTGGAGGAAGGAGGCCAAACTCGCGGGGGCGGGGCTTGGTGTTATTGCGGAGCCGGGACGCCCTGCGACCCCCCAAACTCTCGCAGCCTCAGATCCGGGATCCGCGCGCCCTCCGCGGTGCTCGGGCACAGCCTCTGTCGGATGGCTAGCTCCCGCCTGGATCCGGAATCAGAACTCGAATCGGTGTTCCCTCGAGAGGTCGGGCTCTTCGCAGACTTTTACTCGGAGAGGAGCCGGTTCTACTTCTGTGGGCACGTCCTGAGCATCACACAGAACTTCGGGTCCCGCCTCGGGGTGGCGGCGCGAGTGTGGGACGCGGTGAGGAATGGGCTGCTCCTGGTGTGGGTCCCTGGGAGGTCCAGACCCTGCCATATGGAACCTCTCCACGACAGTCATTTCTGCCCTTTTTTTCTCTCATAGGCTCTGAGCCTGTGCAACTATTTCGAGAGTCACAATGTGGATTTCCGAGGCAAGAAAGTGATCGAATTGGGCGCGGGGACTGGCATCGTGGGAATCTTGGCAGCGCTGCAGGGTGTGTAAGTTGGCATTGCGGCGGGAAGCGGGGGTGGGAGTGGGGTGAGGATGTGGAGTCCTACAAGAGGGGTGTAGACTGAGCCCAGTCCCTTCCTTTTAATACCCCTCTCCCCGTTTTTCTGTGTGGCGGGAGCTAACTGGCTGGTAAAGTACCCAGGACAGTTGATTTGGGGGTAGAAAATAAAAATCAGGCCTTGTTTCTAAATCTTTGCTCTCCATGATTTCAAGGAGATTGTTGTCATTTAAAACCCCTGATGTTGGGGGCCTGGCCCTAGCTCAGGCCTTTAAGTGGCTGCTTCCACAAAGCTGTCAGCCTCAGGTTGCTGGAGTTCGAACCTCACAACTCTCCCGCTGGCCAAAAGTGCCCTGAAGGCATTCGAGGAACAAAAAAAAAAAAAAAAAAAACCCTGATGTTCTGTCAAAATGCACGTAGGGGGTATCTAGTAGGGCAGCAAGTTACTGGGGTTAAACCTCATAAATGCTTTATAACTTGGTTGTGACTATGTGTTAGAGTCAGTGGAGTTATTATTAGGAGAGGGCTGGCGAGACAGCTCGGGGGACTCCGCGCCTGCTTACGCAAGCACAGGTTTGATCTTGCGAATCACCTGTGGCACTGGCCCCACCTCCCGGCATGCTGAGACCGAAACTAGGCTTGATGTTGTTCACCTGCAGTCCTAGGGCTGGGGAGGCTGAGAACAGGAGGATCACTACGAGTCCAAACTGCGTAGTGAGACCCTGTACCAAATACATTTAAAAAAAGAAAAGAAAAAAATTATTATTAGGAGAAACTAACAGGCGTTTTGGAGGGCCGGGTATGTTTTTTGGGGGAAGCAAGGACTAGGAATTAAGCACCTCAGGCTTTAGAAAGGAAAAGGTAAGAAAAACATTGCATCTGTTTTATCAAGAGCCAGAAACTAAAGCAATTTTCCTAAATTAGTAATGCAGAGGGCAGACAAAACCCCATACAGAGAACACTCACATAAAAACACCTCTGAAGTCACTTAGACTAGCATGTACTTATTCACAGTACTGGGTCACACTAAAGAAAATTCTTCCCAGAGGCAGACATTCAGTCTTCTAATCATTCAACTAACATGGGGGCTGGGGAGATGGCTCAGTAGAATAAGCGCTTGCCTGGCAAGCGCAAGACCTGAGTTCAATCCCTGGTTCTGCCAAAAAAAAAAAAAAAAAGAGAGAGAGAGAGAGAGAGACAACAACATTCAACTAACATGTACTCCAAGCTCTCTTTGTGCCAAGAATAATGCAGGGTACTAGGATTCAGCAGCAGATTAAGACTTATTCTCCCTAAGGAGCCTGGGGTCTAGTGGGAAGATGGGGAAGATGCTGTGGAAGAGCTGTGGTGAGCCGGTGGACTTGCTCTGGCTGTGACCGAGTCACCCTGTGAATCCATTTAGGCGAAGCTCTGTGAGTTGGGAAGATGAATAATGTGAACAAAGAAGGCTCAGAAAGAATAGAGGGTGCTTCCACACCTTTTCATGAAGAATGGGGAATGCCATTCAGGCAGTCATATTAAAAGGGAGACCAAAAGCCAGGTGTGGTCACCCGCATGCTTGTAATCCCAGCACTCTGAGAGGCTGGTGCAGGAGGATTGCAAGTTCCTGGGCAACTTGGTGACTTAAGGAGACCCTGTCTCAGGAAAAAAAAAAAAAGACTTGGATGTAGTTTTGTGTGAAGGCCATGGGTTCAGTCCCTAGTACTGCAAAAATGATACAAATAAATATAAAGAGACAAAAGGCATACAGATAGAAACCCCTACCTTCACTTGCTCCTGCATTAGTTTCTCTTCTTTTGCCTCCTATTTAGTTGCCAATTCAAACATCTGGTGCACACCTGTTTTCTAGCTTTCTGGAAGCTTAGGGTCTTAGCTGGCCTCAAACGCAGTGACACTCCTGCCTCAGACTCCTGAGTGCTGAGATTACAGGCATGTGCCGCCACCATGCTTAGCTTGACATCACCCTTGACTTTGACATGCCCATCTTCACCCCATAACTATTATTTGACTTTCTCTCTCTCCTTTCCTCTCTCTCTCTTTCTTTTTTTATTTAGTACAGGGTCTACAGGGTCTCACTACATAGATCGGACTCGTAGTGATTCTCCTGTTTTCAGCATCTCAAGAGCTGGGATTGCAGGCATGCGCCACCATGCCCAGTTCTCCGTCACCATCTCCGATATGGCACGCTGGGGATCAGACCCCAGTCCCTGTGTCTGCCTAAGCAGGTGATTTAATCCACTGAGCTATCTGGCCAGCTCTTTCTTTCTTTATCTCTCTTTTCTTTTTTCTTCCGTTCTTCTCTACCCTTCCTCTTTTTTCCTTTTTTTATTTTTTATTTTTGGTGGTAGTGGAGATTGCATCCAGAGCCTTGTGTGTACTAAGTAAGTGTACTACTGCCAAGGTACATCCCCAGCCCCAACTCCTGTTGACTTTTATCTCCTAAAAAATCCCTTGAATTTTCTCATATATTTCTGCTGGCGGTTCTGCAGCCTAAGTCACTACCATCATTTGCTTAGACTGCAACAGTTAGTCCGACTGGTCTTCCTGCTTTGATTCCTTGGTGCCTCCTAGACCTCTGCCTGCTTCACCCAGCAGTCAGAGTGACCTGTTCTGTTTTTGTCTTTCTTTTGTGCATGCATTGCATGTGCACATGTATGTGCATATGTGTGACCCTGGGGATTGAATACATGATCTTCACAATGAATGATATCCCCAGCCCTTTTTGTATTTTTTTATTTTTAAAACAGGATCTCACTAAGTTTTTATTAAGTTGCCCAGGCTGGATTAGAAATTTTTTTTCTTTTTGAGACAAGATTTTGCTATGCAGTTCAAGCTGGCCTTAAACTCACTTTGTAGCCCTGACTGGCCCTGAACACACAGTGATCCTTCTGCTTCAGACTCCAAGATTGCTATCATTACAGGCATGTGCTACAACAGAAGACCTTTTCTTTTTTTGTTTATTTTCTTGCCTTTTCTTTCTCTCTGTGTCTGTGTCTGTGTCTGTGTCTGTGTCTGTCTGTCTGTCTGTCTGTCTGACAGTCTCTGTGTCCCTGTCTCTGTCTGTCTGTCTCTGTCTCTGTCTCTGTCTCTCTCTCTCTCTCTCTCTCTCTCTCTCTCTCTCTCTCTCTCTCTTTCTTTTTGTACCAGGAATTGAACTCAGGACATTGGGCTTGCCAGGCAGGAGTCTGTGCTGCTGAGCTACATCCCAGCCCCAAAAGACCTTTCCACACTGCAACTGTAATCACACCCTCACTTCAATCTTTCAATGGCTTTGTGGCCTCTGATATCCTGTCTCCCTTTCCCCCTTCCTTTCTTCTTTGTGCTGGCTTATTGGCCTTTTTTCAGTTCCACAGACCTACTCAGATCTGAAGCCCTCTCCCAGCACACATCGCAGTTTTCACTGCTCAGCTCACAGGGAGGTCGGCCTGGGTGCCCTTGCCTCCCACCCAGTGCTGGCTGTGGCTGTACTGACTGGTCCCACATTACATTTGTCACTGACCTTCATGGGCCCTAAGTGCTGCCAGTTAGCCTGCTGTACTTCCCTTGTCTGTTGATTCTTCGGCCCTTCTAAACATGTTTTTTTACCTTCTTGTTCTTCAAACTTATAAATCCTTCTTCTGCTATTGGCACCCTCAGCTGATGACCTCATTTCCTACTTTCCTATGACTTCTTTTTCTTTAGAAACCGTTAACATGCCCCTGTCACAGCGTCGCCTCACCTGTGTCTGTGTCTGCAGGTGCCGCCTTCTGTCTTGCTACCATGGATAAGCAGATCGCTTCTGGCTAAAGCCAAGCCCTCTATTTTTCGCCAGGCCTTTAAACCTTCTGCCTGCGCAGAGGCACTTCGCGCAGCCTTTCCCCGCTCCTGCATCATTGGCTCAGTCTTCCCTTCTCTCTAAGCCATTCTCCCTCCCTCCCAGCCTCCCTCCACGTATATATGCAAGCAGGATGCTGCGATTTCTCTTTTCTCAGAAAAATATATTCGCATCTCGTATGTGATCCTGGTAACCTTCAGTTACCAAACTATTTCTCTGCTTTACTTTAAAATAAAACAACACAGAAAAGTCACTACCCACTGTCTCTGGTTCCTCTCCTCCTGTGTTCCTAATCCGTTTTAATCTGACTGTCACTGGCCCGTGCCTCCTTCACTCTGGTACCTCTTGTTAAGACTGTGAGCTTCACTTCCAGCCTCATGTTGTTAAGCCAGGAATCACTTCTCAGGGCTGGGGATGTGGTCAGTGGTGGAGCTATTGACTTGCACGCACAAGGCTCTGGGTTCCTCCCTGGCATCACACACACACACACACACACACACTCACGCACACGCACACATCAGTTCTCAGCCCACCTCAGTTGGCTTTGCATTAGCACAGATACTCCCTCCTCCTTGAAACTTCCTTTGCTTTTGGGGGTTCTGTCTACTTCACCAGCACACTTTGTTTTGTTTGGTGTTGGGGATCAAACTCAGGACCTCACCCTTGCCAGACAGGCACTGTGCTGCTGAGTCACATCCTGGGCCTCACACTTTTTGTTCCTCTGCTGATTCTTTTTCATCCTCACAACTGAAACTGAGGGCTCTAGAGCTCAGGACTAGTCCTTTGACCCCTTCTTTTACCTGTCAACTCCTTCCTGAGCAGTTCCATTACTCTGTGGCTTTGAGTGCTCTCTGCTGATGATTCTAATTCATATTCTCTCTCTCTCTCTCTCTCTCTCTCTCTCTCTCTCTCTCTCACACACACACACACACACACACACACACACACGGGGAACCACTTGTAGCATGGAGTGGCTGTGTACCTTAGTTACTTTCCTTGTCACTGACACACAATACCCAATGCCTGCAACTTA